ATTGCTGCATCTTGCCATGAGGTAGCAGAGTCACGAGTGAACCAACAACTGCTGGTGGCTCGACCGTAACTTCCTCAAGCAGCGGCTACACTGGGGGAGCTCTGTTCCTTGGAAGCAGTACAAGATATCGAGAATTGCGATTTGCTCAGTTTCCTTGCCACAGGTTAACACTTGTCACCAGCTACAGCAATTCAGTGTTCAGCTGAGGTACAATATGGCCAAACCGGAGTGCAGATGGCTCAGACATTAGCATTCGTTCGTTGCAGATGCGTCCGTAAAAAGGTGTGCAAGTGTCGGGTTCCGAGAGCTCCTTCAGCGGAGGCCAGATGATTTTAAATGGAGTGGTGGCAGTTGGGCACAACGACGATACCGACAGCGACAGCGCAGCCTGGCCGGGAGTTGTGGAAGGCTACAGAGCAGTCAGACCCTAAACCGTCAAACCCTAAACCCTAAACTGCCGAGAACGCCGCTGACCATTTGCATGGGCGCTCGAGGCCCCGACCGAGGCCCCCGACCAAGCGTCCCGTCAGAACGGTGAGGGAGGGCAAAGCCTGCGGGTATACGAGGACTGCAGTGACGCCGCTGCGCGAATGACCTCTCTGCTGCCAGGCAGTAGACCCCAAACCCCCTGCCCCTGCTCCTGCCCCCCAACGTGGTTTGCTGTGAAATGTGGTCGTTGATGGATCGCGAAAGGAAGCAGAGAGCAAGAAAGCCCCCTTCGAGGGGGGCTTGGGGGGTGAACCCGAAGGTTGGGGCGGGACTACATGCTGGCGCAAGGGCGCGACTAGTGGGTGCGCCTCCATTTCTAAAGAAGCGCACCCAACACGCGCACACTGTATACACACCCTATAAGCCTAGACCCTCAGACCTTAAACCCTAAACCCTCAAACCCTAAACCCTAAACCTGAAACCCTAAACCCCTCATTGAGTCGATTTCCTTACCCAGGACGGAGGCGATGGCCCAAAGAAGGCAGTGGCTTTCCGGAAGGCACAGTCACCTGCGCTTCCTTCAGCGAGTGGTGGGGGACCTGGAATTCGGGATGGGGTTTGAGGGTTTGAGGGTTCGAGGGTTTAGGGTTTAGAGTTTCAGGGTTTTAGGGTTTAGGGTCGGGCCCCTTCAAGGTTCCTTTAAGGGGTCTATAGGGTTTATAGGGAAAGCGTCGCTCGCGGACACTTGCCGTGCAGCAAGGTGCCAAGAATGCTTCCAGCTCTGCTGCGCCGACCAATCCCTCAAAGGGCAATGTTGACCTGCTGGACCTGTAGATCAGATGGCTGTGTCTCAGGACGGGGTTAGAGCAAGTTAGTTCCAGTCATGGAACATTCCGTGCTTGTCTTACGATGCACTTTGCCAGATCCAGACATCTGCGCGTGCCGAGATTTTTCGTCGCCAAGAAGCGCCAATTTGATGCACAAATCAGCTAGGGAAGGAGGCACGTCATGGCCGGAGTTTTCGCGAGAAATGAATTCGATGAGTCTCGAGATGGATCGTGAAAGCTCCCTTCAAAGAGCAGTCCCTTCTTCGTTTCACCGCCCTGGAAAAGCAGCGGACAACTGGCAACCATGCTCTGCGAGGGGTCCCGATTGTGAACCGTGGTTCTTTGACAGCTTTCAGAGTCTCCGAGTATTGCATGGCAAACTGCCGGGACAGCCGCTTAGACCCACCTTACACAATGCTAAGAGTGGGTATACAGGCTGCACGACCCTGCACCCGGCATCAGCTGCTGTCCCTGCCTGTTGAAACTAGCCTTCTGGTTACACATTGGGCAGTAATGCATTTGCATGTCACAGGACAGGCATATGATTGTTGCACACAGTAGCTGCTCGGGGCGCATTCTCTCGCACAGCCTGATACCGACAATGCCGGGATTCGGGATTCAGGATCACGGGGCCTGGACGAGATGTGTTCCAATTCTAACGCCGAAGATGGCGGAAGGTAAGGTGGTGTGTTGGATGTTGCTGGATCAGGGCATCTACCATGATTGTCCACCGGCCCGTGAAAGACTCTGGTTCGAGGGGTTGTCCTTGGCCGTTGCATCTTGGCAGGCCCGAAGGGTGCATGGGCTATCCTCGGACTTGAGCGAACGACGAAAAGCGCGGCTTTCATGCGTCTTCGTGGAGGATGGGACTGCTGCGGGATTGTCGGCTTGAGGCATCTTTATGGACTGTGTGTGAATTCCTCGACGCCACTTGCCTCTGCGGAAGCGTCAGCACCAAAGCGTGCTTCGGCAAAGGCAGACGAATGTGCCAGCAAAAACGACAGCTTTCCAAGCGAATGAAACCTGCTTTTCGAGATTCTTCTTGCTATGGGACTCAGCGTGTGCCGAGTGCCATGAGCCATGAAGTGAAGACGGCAGGCCCCCCCCGGCTACGCTGCCCTTGCAGAGGGAATCATACAGCTGTAAGCCCCTGGCTTGCAAGGAGAACCGCCTCAGGACCTCGATCAGTTCCAGTTGTTGACCGACCTTTTTGGGACAGGAGAGCTCGCCAGAAGGGCATGCACCGTGTGCTCAGTGTTCTGCCTTTTGCTTGTCTTCATCAGACAGCTTCGACATTTCTCTGCTCAAGCTGCTGTGAACGTTGAATGTTGAAGAGACCCTCGCATTCCGAATCTCCTTCGAAGACGGAGCCCGGAGATCTGGCCGGGTCTAAGACTGCAGAGCCTTAAAAGCGCCTTCCTTAAGGGCCTATATAAATGATTATAAATGGCCATGAAGGGACCATGAGAAGCCGTGCCTGATTTGCCATGGGGCGCCTTGGCGACGAGCCCCGCACCATGGCCATGGCTGGCTGGCAGGTGCAGGTATCAGCCTCGGCAGAGGACACGGAGAACAGATACCTATAAGGATCGTGGGTTAAGGGCATAAGGCATCAGGGTACTATAGTAGAGACACGGGAGCTTCCGAAAATTAGGGGTACCTTATCTTGGGGGGCTTATAATAAGGATCCTACTGTTTAGGGTACTATTATATTAGGCTGCCCTATTTTCGGAAACCCCCATATCAGATATACCTATGGGGATCGTATCGTAGGGTACTATAGAGTTGTATACTATGGGTTTCCTAGGAGCCCGTTAAGCCGTTCTCCAGTGTCCGGCGCGACCTGATCAGTCTCGCGCTAGCGCGACGGTGCAACGGCATGCAATGTTGTTGGTGTCATTCTTCAGTGCTGTGTGCGATAAGCAAACCGCATTCACATCAATAGCATCACTATCTTCTACAGTAACAGTATGTAACAGTCTAATCAGCTCTCTTAGCGGAGTGGCGTTTGGCTGGGAGGCTGTGCCTCTCTGGTTCGCTAAATCCTAAACCCTGAACCCTCAAGTATGGAGCCATGATTCTTCTGGAACCCAGTGCCTCGTTCACGTAGTGATGACTTCTCGGTCGCTCTGTGCCTTTGCTGCCCGCTCTTTTACTGTCATGCTGCCTTTCTCGCTCGCCCCCTTTCTCTCTTTCAACTCCTCATGCAATCATTATCAATCTACAAATTCGGCATTTTTTGGGCGTGAGAACAATGTGAGCATCGTCCGTGTGGTGAATCAAATCGTGCAAGCGCACTATGCGGGTAGTACTTGGGAAGTAGGGACGCGACAGAAACTCCGGACATGCAGTGGACTTGGCTTAGACGCTGCATGACACACTTTTGGCTTCTGGACTTCAAGCCAGGTTTCCAGTTGACGTCTTCAGGAAATAGTTAAGCCTATACTACCACTGATTCATGGAGTGGTGACACGATTCTGCATGTTTCGTGAGTGTGCATTGGCACTCCGTACAGGGCGCCTGCACCCTCCCACACCTTCGTAGTGCACAAACAGAAGCATGCAAACAGAACCCTTGAAGAGTGTGCCTCTGAAGACAAAACTAAAGCCACAGTCCAACCGTCAGTGTTTGCGAGCTGAAGACATGGCCGGCTTCCAAAAGAAGCAGACTGCGTCGCTGCGCGCCGAGGCCGTTGGCGCCCTCTCGGGCGAGTCTCTGGGTACTGTGACGCTGCCGCACGACGGGAGTTTGCGGGAGCTGAGGTGCCTGGGCCGCATGGGGGTCTCGACGTCATCCTTTCTTGTCCAGTGTGGAATCTCCTCTCTGTTGGGGCCAGCCTGCTGAAGGAACCTCCCCGACCATACGCTGCAACTTTCTGATCATTGCTTCCGGGTATACCTGTTTAACTCCACTTACCAGCTGAGATTCCTGGTTGGTTTTCGTTTTGGCGACGGGCCGCCGTTCAAGTCCGGTCGTGCATTTTGCCAGTCCAGATACAGATGCAACAACATCAGGTTTGTGTCGAGCAGGCCCGGATACGATTGGTCTGTTGCTATTGGTGTTTCGGCCGAGACGTAATCGCACGGCTCAAACTGTTGGCAATCGCAATGTTCATGGCTCTTGCCGTGTGTCTTTACACTAACACAGCACTTTATGTTGGCGAGTTACAAGAAATCCAATGCTGAGGCGTCTCATTGCAAACCTGCCAGGGGTCTCCGCCACTGTGCACTCGGCTGAATAGAGATCTGACCATGTGGGTGGTTGTCAAAATTATGGTCCCTTTTTGGGTCCTTTTTTTCATACGGCACCTACATTTTAGGGTACCCAAAAAAGGGATCCTAATTTTGACAGCCACGCATGTGGCTGAGGATGGAGAGCCACAGCCTTTCTCAATGACTTGAATCGAAGTTGCAAGGCTTTTCACAAGAGTTCAGTCACTTGGAGACGTAAGGTCAAGCTTTTTTCCGACGGCGTGGAGCTTCGAGGCCAATCAAGCCTCGCCGACTCTGGGCTAAGGCCATAGCTGAAATTCACAGAAAGGAAGCACCCCAAGAGAAGTCCACAGCTTGGCCAGGGATGGCTGCGAAGTGCAGGTGATCTCCGTCCGATCCCTGCAGATGCTCTCAGGACGTCTTCCTCCTTAGGAATGACATGTTTATGTCAAAAGGTGCCTCCCATCTGAACTCTTAGCAGAGAGGTGCCCGGAGCTTTAAATGATAGATGTGCGCAGGATCCCAAGACGGCATGGCTCGTCTGTGGGAACTGGAAGAGCGCTCGGAGGCCCCTCAAAGGATTTGAAGTGCAAGGATGCTCGGATTGAGGCTTCCCCGACGAAATAGGCTGGCTTCCGCGGAAGTTGAGAGCTTGGAGTAGGGCAAGGACAAGTTTTATCCCACAAAGCCCACACGCAGCACAAATGTCTCATTTGTGCAGGTACAGCGGTTCCAGCACAGCGCGGAGCTGAACGGTGTGGCAGCATCTCCGGAACCGGGCATCTTCGCGTCGGCTTGCAGCGACCGCTCCATCAGCCTCTGGCGTGTCGGCTCCACGGAGACGAGTTGTCAACTGCTAGGGCATATGGGCCAGGTGTACTCGGTCGATTTCTGTCCGGCTGGCTCTGCGCTGCTGTCAGCGTCTGGAGATGCTACCGCGCGCCTCTGGGACCTCGCTTCCGAACAGGAGCTCTTGTGCCTGAGAGGACACATGCGTGACGTGAACTCCGCCGCCGTCTCTCCGGACGGGCGGGTCTTTGCAACAGGCTCCGACGACTACAGCTTCGCTGTGTGGGACCGTGCGTCTGGCAAGATGATGCAGCATTGGGACGGGCGACGCGGAGACGGGCATTCAGGTAGAGTCTACTCCGTAGCCTTCTCACCTGATGGCCTCTACCTTGCCACTGGTGCAGTTGACAAGAAGGCCAAGGTGTGGGACACGCGTACTGGTGCCTGTCTCCGCTGCTACAGTGGCCACACAGATCTCGTCAATGCAGTCACCTTTTCTCCGGATGGGAAGCTGCTAGCGTCGGCATCGGATGACTTCACGTCTCATGTCTGGACTGCAGATACGTCACAGGGTCGCATAGCTTCCTACAAGCAAGATGCTGAGGTGCTAACGCTGTCGTTTTCAGGAAATGGCCAGACCCTGGCTACGGGTTCCATGACCGGAGCCATCTGTCTTTGGGATCTTAGTTCGCACGAGGAGGTTGGATGCTTTGGTGTCTGCCAGGATCGCGAGAAACCCACGAGGTACGACAGGGTCACATCGTTGTGTTTCCCACCTACTTAAGCTCGCGAAACGATTTTCATGCTTGGTCTTGGGTCGGGTTGCGAATTGCGATCCTCCGAGATGCACCGCATCTGCATGTGTGTAGCTTTAAACTGCAAAGACGGTTCAGTTCGGCCGAGACAGTTCTTCTGATTTCGGCCAAGGGTTTCTTGTACGCAGAGCCAGCTAAGTGGTGCTCATTTTCGCGGAGCGTGTGCTCGCTTCCGGCAGCAAGCCTGCAAAAGCGACGTGGTTGAGGCTTCTCGCTGTGAGATAGGGATCATGGCATGGCGCGGTCTCTGTGAAACTGGCCCGAGTATGCGGCGACACTGTGGGAACAGTTGCAGGAGAAAGTGCAGCCCGTGGCGTGCCAAAGCTCCAGCTCGTGGCTTAAATTCCCCTGCGTCGGGGGAGTGGCTATGTTTTGCCCATGCTCCAGTGGCGATGCAACTCTTTGGTCTGGTATGTCACTGGGATGACTGTCACTACCAGAAATATCACTTCGAGTAGTGGCAAGCCATTCGCTACTAAAGCCCAGACGCGCATCAATGCGAGGCTCAAGCATGCTGTTTCAGGCCCTGGGCCTAGTCATTTCTGATACTGTCATCTTTACGACTAATGTAACTGTACTAATACTGTACATGTAGCAGGATTACTCTTGCTATAAACTATCAACCGTTGCTATTCCTATTGCCAGTACTAGTATGATGACTATGACTAGTACTACTACCTTCACTGTGACTACTACTACTACTACTACTACTACTACTACTACTACTACTACTACTACAACTACAACTACTACTGCTGCTGCTGCTGGTGCTGCTGCTGCTACTACTACTACTACCACCACCACAATGACTATGACTACGGTATTATTACTGTAAGTATTACTATTACTACTATTGCTTTGCTTACTATTCTTACTACTTCTATGACGACGACGACGACGACGACTACTACTACTACTACCACTACTATCGTGATCTTTCCCTATCAGCATTTCCATCAATATCACTATCCCCGCTACTACTACTACTACTACTACTACTACTACTACTACTACTACTACTATCCATGTGTTGCTATCGAAGATCCGAGATGAGGCTCCTGCCCAGAGGCTGTCGGACTCTGGCGGTCGGCGAGGGTGATTTTGCCTTTTCCGAGGCTCGGGATGTCTTGCGGTCTTGATTTCGACAGTTTTCACTCCGAATTCGTGAGCCGTCACCTCTAAAGGGCACAGTTTCAAGCGCAAAACAACTGGAGTTCATGATTATGTTTATGATGATTAGTATGGCTGTTGGTGGTCTTGCTCTTATTCGTGATCATAAAAGCCATCACGACGTGTCTGGTTCTCATTTGGGAATGGGGGAATGGATCCCTATGACAGTCCCTTAAGGTCCCTTACCCCCATTCCCTACGACTGGAACCCTAAACCCCTAAACCCCTAGACCCCCTTGGGCCGTTCCCAACCATAACTGGGTGCCAAGACGCGAATGCCCGATTTGGGCTGTCAAGGGCTCCGGCCTAAAATCCACTAGACTAGCTTGATTCTCCCCTTCATGAGAACACCCTAAACCCAATGCCCAAAGTGCAAAGCCCTATGCAGGGTTTTAGGGGTTTTCCCTCAACCGAAATGGACCTTTCAGGCCCCCCAAGCTGGCCGATTCCAGGGACGGGCCTGCTGGACCGGTCCAGAGGGAGACCCAACCAGAAACGCCCAAACTAGCCCCGCCTGACCCCTCTGCCCCTCCCGGTTCGGCTGCGATCCGACCCTGTTCCATGTATGACACGGTGTGGGAATTGAGGGCGTAAGCCCTAAACCCTAACACCCGAACAGGACATGGTTTGGGTGGTTGCCTGTGGCATCATCACAGCGGGCGGGTTTTGGAGAAGTTCCGGTTTCACCGAGTTCTATCACGCATGCAAGGAAAGTCGTTTTACATGTAATTTGCCACCATCCACAAACCCTGGTGTGAGGTGGCGCGATCGCAGCATGGACCATCGGCCACTGCGCACGAAGACACCCTGAACCCCAAACCCCAAACCAAACCCCAAGCCCTGAACCCTAAACCATATAGCCTATTCCCCAATTCCCTACGACCAGGGACTGTCCGCCGCCCGGAGCTCTGGCAGTGCCCCGGAGCTGGTGGTGACCTGCCTGGAGCCCGAGGCCGGCTGGGAGGTTTCTTTTCTTCGTTTCCAGTACATATATATATATATACATATATATATACACACATATAAAATGTGCAGGTATATATATATATACACAGTATACATATATATACACACATAATATATATATATATATATATTATGATTATAATTATTGTTATTGTTATTGTTATTATTACTACTGTTCTATCATTCTGTATTGTGCAACATATATATATATATATATATACATATATATGTATATATATATATATATATATGTATATATATATATACATATATATATAATAGTAGATGCTAAAGATTACAGTATAGGTTTTGAGGCATTGTCTCCTTGATGTCCGTCGCCATGCGGATTCTATGAAAGTCTACCAGCACTTGTGCCTGGCAGGAGGACATCAGGAGCCAGTACGCAGGCTGGCAGCATCATTTGTTCCGGAATTGTCGCATGTTCACAGATCGGAGTGAGCTTCGAAGAGAAAGTTTCTCGAGAAAGTTTTTTGAGCCCTAAACCCTAAACTCTTAAACCCTAAACCCTAACCCGGGCCTTCCCAAGTCCCCCGATTTTCTGCTGCCAGATGCTGACGAGCGCCTGGCGCGCCTGCGTGGTGCTGGGGCCAAGGCCGCTGAAAGGACACTCATATATCAATAGCGGCATAGTATATTGTAGTTATTCTGTACCTTTCATCTGTCCAGTGCAAGGGTGATTCCATCCGGAGAGGTGATTTGTGGCGTGGACGCAACGGAGCTCCTGAAAGGACCACTGGTGGGTGAAGAGCCCTTTGAAGTGGGGCCCCCAACGCACCAAGTCACACTAGGGTGAACAGATGGCAGCACTTAAAACTCCTGCCAGCGCATCGTGTTCAACTTCCCACTTCTGCCGATGAAGGTGCACAAGGCGGGATGACGATCACGGCTCTACGAATCTGTTGATGCACTGCCGATGCTTGGAACCAAATGCGCTCTGTCAGCCCCGGGCGTCTAGCGCAGACGTGCAGATCGCAAACCGCGCCATGCTGGTCGAGTCCAGCTGCCAAGTTTGTAGTCCTACCTAAGTTTTCTGCTGATTCTGCTTGTTGAAGCACTTGGAGCATCCGCGTGCCACCAGGTTTCTGCGAGGTGCAGCCACCTTCCTGAGGCATCCTTAGGGCAGGGGAGGTGAGCAGGAGAGCCAGTTCTTGCATCCCCAGAGGCCCCAAACTAAAGGACCCCAAGTTTCTGTTGGCAAGCGTTTGTACAGGACAATGCTTGATGCATACGGCGGTTTCTTGCATACGTTCCCTGGAGTAGCACAACCTTGCCAAGGAAGGATGGTCTGCTTCTGATCGCCAACAAGGCACGGGTAGACGCATATAGCTTTTGTTCAACTACTAGCGTTTTGGCATTGTGTCCCTCCTTGTCACTCAACATCGTAGCGCACTTGTAATTGCTCTCACCTGCTTTCGCTGAAATTGCTTTTGCTCAAGATGTCTCTTCAGATTGCAGCTCGTGCCGACAGCACCATCCACCCCACCAAAGTCCTCCAGTCCACCCTGGCCCACATTGCAGTCTCAACTGAGTTCCAGTGTCACAGCACCGTCAGAGAGCAAGACTTCACAAGTGGCAGGAGCTGCCACAGGGTCCCAGGATAGCCTGAGCAATCACCACGGACTGCAAAGTTATAGCGTTTCTTCAACTTTTGCAGCGTGCTCCGTCATGCCTTTGTTTGCGCCCGGGCGTCGGAAAGAGCGCAAACCGTCGACCCCTTCTCGACAAGGCCCACTTTGATGGAGATTTGGGATTTGTACTTTGGGCTGTCCATGTGCAGCAGGCGCGGCGCCCCGGGATTCCGGCCCGCCGCGAGATGCCAGCCTGCCTGTGGGCAGATTTGGCAGTGCCAGGGTCCCAGTGGCGTCAACAGCCGCAGCACATCTCGGAGCGTAAGAAGCGGGAAGGATGCCGCTCCCACTCCGGCCGCGGCCCGTGACGAGATCCGCGAGGTCCGGGGCCTCGGTCGGGCAGGGCACCTTGCAGGCTCCCAGATCCTGCGTCCAAGGCTTTCCAGCATTGCAAGCATTTGATGTTGAGAAAGCTGTGGTCCAGTTGCAGAGCAAGAAATTCGCTCTTGGCTATTGTGCGGACCCACTTGTGACTGCGGAGTGTGACTGTGGACTGAGGTGACTCGAAACTTGCAGCATCTCCAGGCGGACTTGATGAAGCCCTTGCAGGTACGTCAGTGCCTAGATGACAAGAAACAGATGCCGGCTGATTTTTTTGCTTGCGCATGCTGGCAAGAGGAAGCTCTGGACAACGAGCCCAGCGCGCAGCTCAGCTTCCTCTGCCCGTCCTTCGGGGCTGCTCTCCACTGATCTCCGGAGCCTTGAGGCGAGGACATGGTCCCTTGGGTGGACACACTCCTCAGCGAAGTGGAAACGCATGGCTGGCCTGTGTCGCCGCGTGCCTCTTTCCCTCCCCACACATTCCCTCCCCCCTCCCCGCTCTTATGACAGGCAGGTGCAGCAGCTCCAAGAGCAGGCGCAGATCTGCATGCGGGGGTCTCAGCTCGGAGCACACCATGGTCTTTGATGAGAAACCGGAATTTTGAAGCTGCCGGGCAGCATCTTCGTTCTGATCCGGCAAGGGAGCACGATCACTTTGATATTGCAGAGCGGATTGTTGGAGCCTTACGGATGCTCAGAATGTCCAGTACATGCAAGTTCAGGATTATCAGGCATCGTAGGTCATGTGGCAATCCATGCCAAGCTTGGCTGGTGCAACTTCCCCGGGTTGAGCAGGGATCCGTCTGGCAGGTCTTTACACTGATTGCACCCAGCGCACACTCGCAGGTCAACTGTGCATCGGACTTTGAGGAAATGCGCGGGGTCCTCAGCTCCGGCACTCCAACTGCTCTGGAGATCTAAACCCGAAGCCCCAGACCGCAAACACTCCACAAGTGGGGTTATAAGTCCCCTAATATGGCCCATAAGTATAGACTAGTTACCCTACTTATCATCCTACTTATAACTACCCATGAACCCCCAAACTAGGCATCTCAGCCCAGGTGTCCGGGCCGCCTCGTGGAAGGAGGCGTCCAAGGGGCGGGGGTTTGCTGCAAGGCTCTTTTTTGTCGGAAGTTTGGGCGTTATTGCCCCAGCCTGAAGGCTTAAAGCTTGAAACCTGAACATCAATCCCTCTAGAGATATCCAGGCAAAGAGCTACTGACTTATCTCAGATTTCCATCTGTCAGTAAGAAAGATAAGAAGGATCCTCAGCCTTGGAACATGATTTCGGAACGTGACCAAGTCTCGGTTCATCAACCTTTGTTCGTTCACAGCAATTCCTTAGTTCCACTTCTTCGCTTTTCCGCCGGAAGGGAGCCTTGGAAACATGACGCACCATGAACAAAAGCCACTTCAACAGCAACCACAACAACATCAACTACTACTGCTACTGCTACTGCTACTGCTACTGCTACTGCTTGTGCTGCTGCTGCTACTACTACTACTACTACTACTACTACTACTACTACTGCTACTACTACTACTACTACTACTACTACTACTAGTGCTGCCAAAACTGCTACTATTATTATTATTACTACTACTACTACTACTACTGCAGTTGCCGAGATCCGCCCAAATGCCTTCCAAGCCAAGTGCGCTTTTTTTTTGCAGGAAGCGAGCCAACGTGCAGCTCGCGAGGCTGAGGCTGCGGCTCAGGCCGTGGACCGTGGAGTCTGGAAAGCTGTCAGGTTTGTGGACTCGTTCTTGGTGTTTAACGGCTCCAAGTAGTTATTGGAATCTGAGGTTGTGAACAATGTTATGAAGGGCCATGCACAGGGCCTGGTCTAATGGGAGTTCGGGGTTCGATTTAGGTTTGGGGTCGGCGAGCTTATATTTCTGCACGGTGGTCGATTCGATACAGGACCCGCCTCCTACAGCACGAGATCGGGCGCCCTCTGCATCTCGCCCGACAAAGTTGCCATAGCAGCTGTATAGTTTGGAGTCGAAACATCCGGAGCTTTTCTTCTTTCCAGGCCACTCCAGTCCTTTTGCTTCCCCGAGGCTTCCTCGCCGCAAGTGGGCCGTCTCGCTTCGATTAAGTCAGAGGCCATCCGGAGTGACATGGAGTGACGTAGATTTCTTCACAACATGAAGCAGCTTGCCAGCCAGGACGTGAAGTGTTTTCGAGGTCGTTAGCATGTGAGCTCCGCGCTTCCAATCTCCCCGCTGAATCTCCAGGGCACGCCGACGGATTCCGCCTTTGGCAGTGTGGCCTACCCGGGTACCCTCCAACTTGCCGGAGTTTGAGTGCTTATGGCTGCGACTGAGGCGCAGCCATCCCCCGCCTCACGACCACAGGCGCACTCTTAGGTTCCATACCGGAGCTTCCCAGCAACCTCGCGGCGGTACGTTAGCGATGCTTGCCAGCTTGGAAGGGCAGCCCGAGCCCTGCTGGGAGCCCGAGCCCTGCTGCGAGCCCTGCCTCCAGCGCAGCCCGACTGCAGTGAAGCAAAGCTGGTGCTGCTGTAGATCGAGCCATTGTGTAAGGATTACATGTCTCTAGCTGAAACTCTTGAAGTGCAGAGCCCTGCTAGGCGCACTTGCAATTTATGATCCACAAAGCGCCGTATACTGATTGCTTCGTGCAAGGAAACTGCACGAAATCAACCCTGAGACTTGTTTCGGGATAGCAGTGGTGGTTGGTGGTCCACCTGGTACTGACACCCATCGGGCTTCCTCGGATGCAGCATGGAGATGTGCGGATGAGGTATCACCGTCACCTGCTAGGCCAGCAGCGCAGGCCGGATTAGCCTCTCTGCATGTCGATGTACCTGAGTAGTAGGATCCTTATTTTTAGGGATCCCAAAATAAGGTACTCCTTATTATGGTGACTTCAATTTAGTTCCGGGACGCAGAGCGAAACGAGCACTAAGCTGCCAGGCGGCAACGTCTCCGAGTGCTGACCCGTTTGGGTCTGCAAAGTCGCAGGCACCAGTCGTGTGGTTTCGCAATGCTGACTTCCAAGTCCGGCCTTCAATCTGATTCTGGACGCTGTCATCCCTACATACAATCGAGGGACCAGTGATGCGTTAGTCGCAATACTGCATGTGGCAGGCTGCGCAGTCCCCGACTTCCGGTGCCTTTGGCTCCATGAAATCGCAGGTGCAAGCCAGTTGACGTTTTGCCAGGCAGCCACGTGTTGTAAGGGAGCCCAAGCCACCGTTGATGCGAGGTGCCGCCGTCGCCAGCAGGGCCGGCAGATGCGTCCAGATCGCAGGCGCATGTGAGTGATCGATTCATCAGATTCCCAGATCAGCAGTTGCAAGAGCCCGTTTCGTTGGCTCAGGCGGCGCAGTCTCCAAGTGCTGGCGCATTTGGGTCCGTGAAGTCGCAGGCACAGCAGCTGGCTGCCCGTCTCCGGGTGTTATGATAGAGGACATGCTTTCTTTTCAGATGTCACGCTATAGCCTGGTGCATTTGGCCCCATAGCTGCCGTGTGTTGCAAGGGAGCCCAAGCCACAGTTGTTGGGAGGTGCCGCCGTCGCCAGCAGGGCCGGCAGCGGCAGATGCGTCCAGGTCGCAGGCATGCGTGAGTGAGGGATCAGCTTCCCGAGAACACCCTGTTTTGTTGGCTTGCGAGCAGCATTGAGTGCTACAGAGGGGTGCAAGCTTACGGATACCTGGGGCATAGCTTGCATGAGACGATGTTGCTTCATTCCCCGCAGTTTCCGAGTGCTGACCTGTTCGGGTCTGTGAAGTCGCAGGCGCACGAGTCGAACGGTGTCCCAGTGCTACCTTCCAATTCGTTCTGTCACGCTGTCGCCACCATCGTTGCGGGACCAGTGCGGGGGAAGCAGGAATTCATGTGCCTGCAAATGCCGCATGTGGCAGGCTGCGCAGTCCCCGACTTCCGGTGCCTTTGGCTCCATGAAATCGCAGGTGCAAGCCAGTTTGACGTTTTGCCAGGCAGCCACGTGTTGTAAGGGAGCCCAAGCCACGGTTGATGCGAGGTGCCGCCGTCGCCAGCAGGGCCGGCAGATGCGTCCAGATCGCAGGCGCATCTGAGTGATCGACTCATCAGATTCCCAGATCAGCAGTTGCAAGAGCCCTTTTTGTTGGCTCAGGCGGCGCAGTCTCCAAGTGCTGGCGCATTTGGGTCCGTGAAGTCGCAGGCACAGCAGCTGGCTGCCCGTCTCCGGGTGTTATGATAGAGGACATGCTTTCTTTTCAGATGTCACGCTGTAGCCTGGTGCATTTGGCCCCATAGCTGCCGTGTGTTGCAAGGGAGCCCAAGCCACAGTTGTTGGGAGGTGCCGCCGTCGCCAGCAGGGCCGGCAGCGGCAGATGCGTCCAGGTCGCAGGCATGCGTGAGTGAGGGATCAGCTTCCCGAGAACACCCTGTTTTGTTGGCTTGCGAGCAGCATTGAGTGCTACAGAGGGGTGCAAGCCTACGGGTACCTGGGGCATAGCTTGCATGAGACGATGTTGCTTCATTCCACATTGAGCGAGCTCTTGAGCCCCGCAGTCTCCGAGTGCTGACCTGTTTGGGTCTGTGAAGTCGCAGGCGCACGAGTCGAACGGTGTCCCAGTGCTACCTTCCAATTCGTTCTGTCACGCGGTCGCCACCATCGTTGCGGGACCAGTGCGGGGGAAGCAGGAATTCATGTGCCTGCAAATGCCGCATGTGGCAGGCTGCGCAGTCCCCGACTTCCGGTGCCTTTGGCTCCATGAAATCGCAGGTGCAAGCCAGTTGACGTTTTGCCAGGCAGCCACGTGTTGTAAGGGAGCCCAAGCCACGGTTGATGCGAGGTGCTGCCGTCGCCAGCAGGGCCGGCAGATGCGTCCAGATCGCAGGCGCATGTGAGTGATCGATTCATCAGATTCCCAGATCAGCAGTTGCAAGAGCCCTTTTTGTTGGCTCAGGCGGCGCAGTCTCCAAGTGCTGGCGCATTTGGGTCCTTGAAATCGCAGGCACAGCAGCTGGCTGCCCGTCTCCGGGTGTTATGATAGAGGACATGCTTTCTTTTCAGATGTCACGCTGTAGCCTGGTGCATTTGGCCCCATAGCTGCCGTGTGTTGCAAGGGAGCCCAAGCCACAGTTGTTGGGAGGTGCCGCCGTCGCCAGCAGGGCCGGCAGCGGCAGATGCGTCCAGGTCGCAGGCATGCGTGAGTGAGGGATCAGCTTCCCGAGAACACCCTGTTTTGTTGGCTTGCGAGCAGCATTGAGTGCTACAGAGGGGTGCAAGCTTACGGATACCTGGGGCATAGCTTGCATGAGACGATGTTGCTTCATTCCACATTGAGCGAGCTCTTGAGCCCCGCAGTCTCCGAGTGCTGACCTGTTTGGGTCTGTGAAGTCGCAGGCGCACGAGTCGAACGGTGTCCCAGTGCTGCCTTCCAATTCGTTCTGTCACGCTGTCGCCACCATCGTTGCGGGACCAGTGCGGGGGAAGCAGGAATTCATGTGCCTGCAAATGCCGCATGTGGCAGGCTGCGCAGTCCCCGACTTCCGGTGCCTTTGGCTCCATGAAATCGCAGGTGCAAGCCAGTTGACGTTTTGCCAGGCAGCCACGTGTTGTAAGGGAGCCCAAGCCACGGTTGATGCGAGGTGCTGCCGTCGCCAGCGGGGCCGGCAGATGCGTCCAGATCGCAGGCGCATGTGAGTGAGCGATTCATCAGATTCCCAGATCAGCAGTTGCAAGAGCCCTTTTTGTTGGCTCAGGCGGCGCAGTCTCCAAGTGCTGGCGCATTTGGGTCCGTGAAGTCGCAGGCAAATGGAGCTGTTGGGAGGTATGTGTTCTGAGGCCTTCAACTGAAGCACTGGGGCTGTCTATAAGCATCCCGTTAACATGCCTTCGGGCTGGACGAAGTCTGGACGATTTTCGGTTGTACCTGTCGCCGATGACTGGAGAACCCAGGTCCCCCCGTCACCTCCAGCTTGGCCGGCAGCTTCCAAGTCGCAGTTGGAGCATCCTGAAAGCTCGGTTGAGTGGCTGACAGATCATTTGCTTATCTCCAGTCCTTGCAGCACTGCAGGCACAGCAGTCTCCTGGTGGAGCCTTTGGCTCACTTTCGTCTTTCAAGGTCTAACGGCCTAGCAGCAACAGCGAGTGTTTTTGCCTTGTTCTTCAAACGTCGATGTCGTAGCAGTGCTGCGACAGCAGCAGCGCCTTTATTCACATGAATCTCCCACAGGTGCCACCATCACCGGCGGCCGGATCGTCTGCATCCGAGGTCGCTGTGGAAGAGAGCCACTTGGCCTCGTGCCACTGCGCTCGGCAGGCGGCAAGGTCTCCAGCTGCCGGCCCCACTGTATCCTTTGCTTCCCAGGTGCGTGACAGCTGGGTGCCCGGGTGGTCTGACGTCTGAGTGTGAAACGATGCCAGGGACCAGCTTCTCCACCCAGTGGCAGCCCTCCGGTGCGACTCTGAGAGCCGAAAGGAGAGCTTCAGGTCAGCCTGGAAACTGAAACGAGGCCGCTGATCCGTGGCAGTCTCTACGGTCTTGGATGGCCGGACCCTCAGCATCCCTCAGCAGTTCATTCCAAAGTAAGTCGCTCCCTGTTTTTGCTTTTGTACTATGCAAGGGCGACCCTTTCGGGACAAGCGCAACCCAGCTGCATCTTCGAAGATTGACTTGTCGTCCTGTGACGGGCCGCAAAGAAGACAGGCGCATGTTGTGCATCCGGGTTGACCGGCGAAGGCAAACCAGACGAGTACGGCAGCATGGCCGGCCGCGCAGGCACGTTGACATGGAGAAGTCCTCAGGTCAAGGTGGCAGGTCACAAGGGAACAAGGGAGTGACACATTTCTCAGAGGGTGCTTGTCAAGTGGCTTTACGATCAGCGGAGCGCTGAGGAAGCATCATCCCAAAATGTCCAAAGATTGCTGACAGCCATCCGCTGCAGGTCTCTTCCCCGGACGTCGGCAAGCGGCACCTAGCATGCACGAAGGCAATGAAAGGATTTTCGCAATGGAGTATTAAAGCCAGCCAGGCTCTAACGTAATTGCCTGTGCTGTAGCAGATCAGGGGATCCTGCGCACGCCCTCCTAGCACCACCTAGCCATCTGCAGGAAGTTCGACAAGGAAAGGATGGGAAGTCCTCATCAGAAGTGCTCAGCTGCGACCCGCATCCCGAGTTCTCAGGAACAGCTTCTCCAGCAAGTCGCCTGCCTCCGCGCGCTTTGACATGTGGCCTAAAGCTGCTGGGGACACGGCCAGACGCTCGGCCGTTGGAACCTCGGCCGCGATGGAGCGATGCCTCGGCCGCCTTGAGGAACCCGCGCCCGGATGGCCGAGCGATGCATCTGACACTCCCTTGGACGCCTCGCCGGTCGCCTGTCTCATCTGGTGCCATGTGTCCTTCCAGCAACGCTGCTTCCGCCAGAAGTTGCGCAGCAATGCAAGCCGTTCTTAGCTCTCTGCAAGTTGTCTGAAGAATCTTGCAGTTCCGGTGTCCGCTGCGTGATCGTCGGTCGAAGCCGAGGCCCTAGCTGCTCAGCAGTCACCAGCAGGTGGAAGGCCGCAGCCTTACTGTACACCTTGCTCTTTCTTACGTCAACGTTAGAAGACAGGAGAAAGCTATTCATGCGAGGTCCGTAGCTTCAGCAGCTTCAGTTCGCTTGAAGCGCGAGCAGGACATGGTTACTGAAGCGCATCGGTTGCAGCAGGTCCAGTGCAGAGCAACTTCCGATGCACGGTGCTTCCCGTGTAGTTTTCTTTGGTCCGAGCGTCTGGGGACAGAGGCTTGCAGTGCTGAGCCCCGAAATCCCCCAAATGGATCAATGGATCTGTCTCCGGACTTGCACGGTCTTGGCTGGGTCAGTTCGCAGGAAGCAGCCAAGCGGACGCTGGCCAGTGCCATGGGTGGCTCTCAACCGGTGCTCCTGGCCAAGTTATCTTTCACACGTCCTGGGCTTGAAGATGCTCGAAACGGGACAAGAAATTCATCACAAACCGCTCATGCCCGAATGACGTCACGTCGTACTACGATACTGAGAGGTTCGGTCCCAAAACCGAGTTGCAGTTGATTCGGGATAATGGTACCATTCGTACGATGTGAGACATGAGATGCCGAGAAATGGCCTGAACCAGAGCAGAGTTTGAAATGGTGGTGTATTCATTTAACTAAGCCCGTAGACATCAGCTAGTTGAAACGAGTCCAGAATTCCTGACTTCCGAATTCCTTTCCGGGGAGCGTGTTGCTCAGCTTCGGCTGCATTTCCCCCGACGTTTGCCATGGTGGCTGGCAGATGGTTTTCGGTAGTGGTGGCTCTGGCGCATGCCTCATCCCCGGAATGTGATTATGCTCCGCTGGTGCAGCTGCAAGCCTCTTTGCCCGCAGAGCGAGAGCTGCGAGAGTGTAGCCCTGATGACCTGGGCTGCATGGCAAGGGAAGAGGCTTGCTCGTTAGCCAAACAGATGGCGTCAGACTGGCCGCTGCACTACGAAAGCATGCAGCAGATCCACAGCCAGTTGACAGATGTTTGCGCTGGACGCCCCTTGAGCTTCGCTGACACTCCAGAAGAGCCATTCGACGTCCCTGGCACAAATCCTGAGGTGTTGTTAGCAGCTTCCGCGGATTTTGAGTGCAGCGATCCAGGCTCCTGCACCACCGATGTCAGCGAATATGAAGACGACAATCCCGGAGCAAAGTATGGAATGAAATCTGGCAAGTTTGCAGCAAAAGCTGGATCAGACACCCTGAAAGAGATTCTCAAGGATGCGAAGGTGATTGCCCTGAAGAGCGTTATAGCCTTTGCTTTTGTAGGCGCCGCCATAAGCGCATTCTTTCCGACCTCGGGTGGGCTTCCGGTGAATCCGTGCACCTTTGCCGAAGCAGAGGATTGGGGCCGTTGCGTTTGGGAACAGGTGAAGCCATTTGTCCAAGAATTTGTCGAGGACCAGTTGGATGACGCCTTCGGGGACCTGTGGGAATCGACCATCAAGGGCTACAAGACAAGACTGTGGGCCTTGAATGCGACAGTTTACCGCAATTCCGAGCTGTATCCGAACGGGACCATCAAAGACATGTCGAACGCGACCAGGGACAGGATGTACGAGGATATCAAAGGAGTACATGATGCTATGCTCGGTAGCATCCATCTCTTTTTGGCAGGTCGTGCCATTAAAAGCACAGCGGGAGCTTACCTATCCCAGTTTGCCTCCTTGCATTTCAGCGTGGTGACAAACCTGTTCGGGTCCTTGAAATACCGCACGGCCGGCGACCGCTACGTCTTCCAGACTGTTTTAGCATGTTATACTCGGAGGGTCTACGAGCGTGCCACAGCTGCTCTCAAGTCCCGCATGTCTGCTCTGAAGGCGCATGAGGAGGACCAGGGCACCAGGGAATGCTGCTTCTTGTACACCTGCAGGACATGCCAGTCCCATTTTCTTTCGGGTGAGTTCAAGGACACCTGGAAGCTCTCTTGCGACTGGAAGAACTCAGGATATCACACCCACTGTGTGTTAACCCAGTGCATGTTTGGCCCGGTCCCGTTTGCACAACGAATGGCTCGGGATTGCTACCAACGACATCACGATGCGGTGGAAAATCAAACTGTCACTAGGTGGCACCCTGGGAGACTTCTCACTCTTATTTTTACGTTGCTGGTAGAAGTTCTGATCGATGGCTACTATTTGGGTTCCTCAAACTACAACCCAGGTCAGCTTTTGGCAGGACTGGTTGACGCCGCTTCCCATTTGGTTAGACAGTATTGCTTTAATGCAAAGCATCCCAGTAAAACCTGGGACACCGCCGAGCAGTGGTTTTGACTGCTCGGCTTTCTAGACCATTTGGTCAGGTATCATCTGCATGTTCTCGAATTCGAATGCATGCTGAGCGGACAACTGTCCACCAGTCGCTCAGCACCGTCCTTGCAATTCGTTTGGTTCACTTCTGCAAAGTACCATTTGCTCCAAACACAAACCTTGAAGTCAGCAGCAACTCGTCCGTTTGTTGATCGACGGATCCTCTCAGGTCGTGGGTGATGCCATTGACGAGTGTGCTGCGCCATTGAAACGGTTGCGCGACTTGTGATTCGGGCTGTTACACCTATAGCCTCCCTTTCTTCTCCCATTATTATCGACAGCGAAAATGGAAACTACCTACACTGGTGTCGACTTTCCCTGTCTTGGCGACTATGACTTCTGCACATATCTCCGTTATCAAATCCTCCAACCTTTGGTCTAGATGGGGGGTTTGCATTTTCGTCGGGTGCTTTCGTCGTGCTGGATCCCTGGACCTAGACTCTAGACCCTGGCCGTAATCCTTTGGAGGACATGCACTTTCTGGCTACGGCGGTGCATGGTGCCAAATCCTGCGGACTGGACGAGGTGCATTTCGGGATGCCGGGATGCCTTGTCAATATACTGGCCTTAACTACTAGAAGAGGGTTTTGGGGTACTATGATTGTAATGAGGAACCCCAAAATAGTATTGGCAATCATTTAGGTCCCTGTATTCATGATTCTTCTACGACACATTTCTAGGAAGCTCGGAAGCCTGAGCGGGCCACATGAGCTTCATGGTCTCAAATGTCATTGCATGGTTTCCCCTACTTGGAGGTTCATGGGTAACCATAATTATATCCCATGTTAGGGGACTTATAACTCCACTGAAAACTACCCTAGACCCTAAACCCATAGCCTTTACCCGAAAGAACTAAAGGATCCCTACTACGAATCTCGAAGTAGACGGGCTCTCGGAAGCTCGACTCACACGAACAGAGAAGCCGATGCCAAAACAGGCGGAGCCGGACCTGGTCCATCAGGCGGAGCGCACCCTTGAGAAGGCCTCCATGTATTGATATGTACATATATATATATACATACATACATACATACATACACGTCTATCTATCTATCTATCTATCTATCTATCTATCTCTCGCTATATATATATATGTATATATATATATATACATACATATGTGTATATATATATATATATATATATATTTATTTATCTATGTATGCATGTATGTATGCATGTAGGTATGTAAATCTACATATATATATATATATATATATTTATATGTATATATGCATATATGTTTATGGTCTACATATATCTGTGTATATATATATATACATGTATTTATGTATATATATATATATACATACATATATATATATATATATATATACACATGTATTTATGTATATATATATATATATATATATATACATAGATATAGATATAGATATAGATATAGATGTATGTATGTATGTACGTATGCATATGCCGACAGGGGCGCGTTGAGACTTTGAGAGCTCTTGTCTGTGAAGGCACAGCGAGAGACCTCCATGGCGGAGCTGCGCGAGTCTTTGGGCTCTGCAACTTCTGCGGTGTCCGCTCGTCTGAGTACACAGGCCCCAGCTCGGAACCTATATTTCACCGGTACAATTGAGTTTGCAGCGATCCTGTGACATGTATCGTTTTTTGGCTCCGACTTTGCCAGGATCCTGCTCCGGAGGAGCTTCGCAAAGACACGTATCCTTCTATCTTTTGGTGGTGCCATGGCTTAGCCGAGGGAAGCAAGGGTAAACAAGGGGCAAAACGTACCCTGAGAGTATAACCAGCTATGGTATATCTTTGTAATTGCTAGATAACTAATAGTTGTCCCGGCTTCGAGAGGACGTGACCAGGCTGCGATCGGTGCTGGGCGAGGCACGGCGCAGCTGAAAGAGTCACGGATACAACAGATGCTTTTTTTTGTTGTTCAGAGCCAGCCTCTCCACAAGGCTCGAGCCAGTGCGAGTTTCAGTGATGCAGAGCTCGTACAGGCGTGGGGCGTGGAAGGGAGCATGAATGTCTTAGACAGTAGTTAGCTTGACGTTGTTGGCAGAGAGCCACAAGCTGTAGGGACAAGCGACCTGGTAGAGATTAGAAGCCGTACCGGGACAGGCGGAATTGTCCGGAATCGAATGCGGGCTTTGTTGATGGTTTGCCTTGGTTTATCTTGCTATATCACGTCCTCTTGCCCAGCGTTTCCGGACTAAGCTAGCTGCTAGCTCCCTGCAGTCTGTTCCAGGCCGAGCAGACGCTTTTCAAGGCCCTGGCCAAGCAGTTGAGCTCTTGACCGTAGCAGATCCTTTCGGGCTGCAATTTTTCATGTACTGGCCTGGTGAAGGCATCGCAGCTCCAGCAGGCCACGCTCCAGCAGGCCACGCCATCTGTGCACCCGCACACTTGAAGTGAAACAGTGTTACTATGAAGGCGGCATGTTCACTTTTCATCCCATCACCCACCCAACTCTGACCGACAGAGAGCAAGTCAGCCTTTGGCAGCACGGCTGCTGGCGGCCCTTTCTGGGCGTGTTAAACAGCAGGGTCAATTACACTCTGTCTCAGTCGTGCACACACTTATATGCATATGGGCGCGCTGCATAAATCCTTACAGGTGCGCACTCAGATGCGCATAGTGTGGGAAACGTACTCGTGAACAGGCGTCCAGCATGCTTACCTGCATCTGTGTTTATGTTCGCTCGCCACAGCTCCTCTTGTGACTCCGGTTCGGGTTAAACGGGCGACAACAAAGCGTGAACAGTAGTGTATCTGCGTATGTGTATCTGTATACATGTATGTGTATACATATATATATATATATATATGTTTATATGTGTATTTACATACATACATACATACATACATACATATATATATATATATATATATATATATGTATGTATGTATGTATACATACGCATATACGCAGATTCACATACACGATGAACATGTATACACTCATGTGCATGTCTATGCACACATACGCATGTTTTTGGAAGGGTCGTGCGGTCTCGTTGCCTGCTCCTGGCATGCTCTCGTGCAGTTTCGCGAAAGCATCAGAAGCAGGCTGCCTCTGCGGCTGCGAGTCCGAAGCCGCCGCAGGTTTGGGACTCTGATGTTGCTGAAAGCATTCCGTCAGTGCTACATTATGATGCAGTCTCGCGTCTGCCGTTGCAGGCCTCCTCTCCTGCCAGGGTGCCCGTCGCGCCGGCGGCGGCCACACCTATGTCTTCACCTGCCTCGCCCGCCTCGCCCGCCTCGCCCACTCCGCCAGCTGAGCAGTTGGCCATGAAGGACAAGGCCGAACGTACCAGAGCAATGGCGAGCCTGAGCTTCCCAGCTTCTGCCGCTTCCGCCTTGCATGAGGTGTCGAAGCTGCTCCAGACTCTGCTGGCAGGCAGGGACAAGGGAGTTGTGCTCTGCCGCGGGCAGAAGACCTGAAGCTGGCCAGGAGGCAGCGCACCGGAGTCGCTCCGCAAGGCCGCAGAGGTCGCAGCTGCGGCAGGCCCCTCTTGGGCCGTTAAGTTGGGCCGGGGTGACGGCTGGGAGCTGGATGTTTTTAAACAATTTTTGGCCATGCATCATAGAGTTTCTCAGTGCTGTCTACAGTTCCAAGATATTGCAGTTCGTGAGTTGAGGGTTGAGTTCTTGGTTGGCTGCGAGCCGTGGATTCTTATGACTCATATCAAGTGCGATCTAGCCCATTCTTTGCATGAGCTGCCGTCCTGTCTGTGAAGTGCACTTGGTGTTGCCGCCCAGGCCTTGCACCCGAGATTTGTGCCTACGCGCGATCGGCTGCAGAGTTGCCCGGCGCTGGAATAAACTGCTTCAGATGAATGCTGCAAGCAAGTCAAAGACAAAATCTCGCCAGTGCATGACAGGCTCTGACATGTGAGGTGTGGTGTGAGAGGCCTCAAGGCCTTAAGTATCTGTTCCGATGTGCAATATCTTCGCACTCATCGGGCATGTCCTGACTATGGATTGGATGAGCCAGCATGCACAAGCATGGATGGTCTGCATGGAGAGTGCCTCTATCTTAGCCAGAAGGCGTCCAGCAGAGCATCGTCTTGGTGTCATGGCGGGTACTTGAGGAGTCGGAGCATCGCCCATGAAAAGGCTGCTTGGGACCCAGTTCTTCACACGCTCGGAGGAACATGTCGATCTAGACAGGCCAGGCAGGCAGGCAGGCAAGTGCAGTTCTTCGTGGCAAAGGTCGCAGCATTGGCGTCTGGGAATCTTGATGCGATTCGTCAAGCGAAGATCGATGTCGAGCTGGCCGGACACTAATCGGAAACTATTTGTGAAAGCACGAGTGTCGTTTTTGCCTGAGGCCGGGGGTCCGAACTCCGATCTGCGGCAGCTCACGCAGGTCTTGGACATGCAGCGGGGGCCCGCTCGCGCCCTGAGAGAAGGAGATCCAAATTTCGGCGCTCCTCCCATGCTTCCAAGTCAGGTCCCGGCCACAGCTCCTGCAACCGCTTCAGGCGGGCGCCGTTGCTACAAGTTGCTCCGGTTTTAGGCAAATTGCTGGCGACAGGCTTCCATTCCCAGGTGGACGTGGAAGAGCTGCGACAGCGTGAGGAGCTGTGGCCTGAGACGTGTGGAAAAAAGCTCAGGGACGAGAGTTGGACGTAAATCTTGTCAGCTGTCTGCTAGCTGGCAAATGGGTCGAGACAGGGATTGAATCTGCGCTTGCTGCAGTCTCAGGCAGCTCCTCCAGCGGCTTCGGCAGGCAGATCTGATTCAGAGGGTCTTTTCAAGCTAGGCTCGAGAAGGCCTCATTCGTAGCAGGCCATTTGGCGACAGCTGCATTCCGCTCCGTAGATCCAAACCCACAACCTGCGCCGCAGCCTTTTTTGTCATGATTTTCACCTGAGTCTCCCAAAACCCTGAACCCTTGACCTGAGCCCCCTCAGCAGTTCGAGGCACGCGGCCGCCACCTCGATGAGCTGCGGCGCGAGTTAGGGCCCAAACCAATGACGACGATTGCCATCCCGTGATGCGCACGCAGCGGGCGCTGACGATGATGATGATGTTTTTGATGGTACCGTCCTTTGTTTTGCGCACAGCAGCAGCAGCACCACCCACCAAAGCCTTCCTTTTTGAGGCACTTGCAACAGTCACTGCAGGGTGAGCTGAGAGGAACTGATGCCCCAGAGCCCGAGCCCAGGTCCAGTCCACCCAGCACCCGTCAAGTGGGATTTTCCGGCTTCAGTGCGCCTGCCGGAGCCTTGTGAACAGCACGACCTGCTGTACTGCAGCAAACTAGCAAAAGGCAAGGCCTTGTTGTTGCCCTGACACAAAGTATGATGTTTCCGGTCGGGTCGCCAAAGGCATTGGCTCAATACCAGCCTGACTTGCGCAAGATCCAGCAGCCAAGGAGGCATCGGCAACTGCTTTATTGGTGCTTGTGCTCGAAGCCTGCACTCTTGGACAGGCTCGCCGAAACACCACTGGAAGAGGTCCGCTCCAGATCGTATCGAATAGCTCCATTACTTTTCGCCGCCCTCGTTGAAGCTTTTTCTTTGGAAACGCCCCGATCTCCTGCACCCGTCTCCTTTTAACCAGACGGAGCCTTTATCCCACCCCTGCACAAAAACTCTTGTGTCCCAAAGAGCTCTGTCCGGCCTCTTGAGAGGTTTGCAAAGCCCCTGCAAGCTTGGGTTCCTGGGGTGGGAACTGGGAGGGTCTGCTTGAGTGAACATCGGTAATTCGGGTCATGAGCATGTCTTTATTTACCCTGTCTGGTCCTAGCGTCCTACCAGCAAGCGCAGCTCTGCGGGTGGACGCAACTCTCCCTCTCATCGTGGAGACTTGCATCCTTTGCACAAGTTGTGTTGCCGCAGGGCAAGTCCCGCAGTCCCGGTAAAGCTGGAGGGCTTGCAACATGGGTGCTCAGAGAGTGTTCATGTCCTGCAGGCGCAGGCACGTGCGCGGCGGGAAATTCAGACAGAGCCGGACATCCGCAAGGTGTCGGCTCAGTGCTGTGGGGGTTGCAGTTACAGTACGAGTCTTTCAGGACTTTCCAGCTTTGGCGGGTAGCTTTTCATCCTGATCTTCATCTTCTCCTCCAGTCACCACGTCAACTGTTCACCAGTGAAGGCTTTCGAGGCCAACTAGGCCGGTAGGCATCCAAACGTGAAAGTGCTTCGACTTCGCACAAGATGGAGCTTGTATTTTCACTTCCCGAATCTGTAAAGTCTTTGCAACATGATGGCAATAGGCACAGTGCGACAGAGTAGGGAAACACGTGACTCTTGCAGTCGCTGTCTGCGGAGCATTAAACGGCGGTCATGCTGCTCCAAGGTGCCCCGACCCACGACAAACATCCGCGACATGGCTTCAAGGCCCGGACTATGATTACTATTATTCTTTATATTGCTATTATTACTGTAGTTATTTTCATTATTATTGCCTTTATTTCTACGACACCGTCTCTTCAGACTCTTGCCTGAGAAATGAGTGTCCAGGCCGCTGGCGCCGCAAAGTGACGGGGCACTGGCAGACAGTATCCATGCTGACCACGGCGTCCCTCGATCGATATGTGGGTTTTCCTTGCAACTTTGGGGTTTCGCCTGAGCCCGAAACTCCGTGCGGGTCTGGGCCACTCAGGAAAGGTGGCTGAATCCCTTTGGCATCGACCCTGTGAAGCAGGCTCGTGACTTTATTTGGAGCTTGTGCTCACAAAGTCGCATTGAGACCTCTCGAGGCCTTCGACCCGATGGGCTTGCCACCTTCAGTGCCTGGTCTGCAAGATGCGGTGCGGCGACGGAGATGGAAGTTTCCGAAGATAGGGGAGCCTAATAAAGTCCCCTAAGTAGCAGGATCCTTTTGAAAAAGGACCCCAGAATAAGGTACCCCCTAATTTTCGGAAACTCCCAAATGCCGCCTGCTGGGACCGATGCAACTGATTCCCAGGACTACAAATCGATGTTAACGAACGCACGGCGCCTGATGCAGCTGGGGCCTAAGTTGTTTCATTCTGCGCCGCTAGTAAAAGTCGTGCTTCTGCTTCTCCTCCGATATTTGCCGTGCTTGCCTACGGAAATCCGTTTCTGAACACGGTGGCACGAGGTGCAGAGAGTTAGTTCGTTATTCCATTGGTTATGTGACATTGGAAGAAGCCTCAGCGTTATACATAATACATATATATATATATACATACATATATATATATATATATGTATATGTATATATATATATATATATATATATATGAATATTTTTCAATATGTATATCGTATGTATGTATATATATATATATATATAACATAAGTATGTATATAATAAAATAACTACAATATAGTTCAGAATATCTAATACATAATCTGTAATTAGTTTCATAATATGTAGTATATAAGATATATAACAGTGAAACCCGGGTGAATGCCAGGGCTCCTGGTCGGCCATTCGAGTCCCCAAGCTTCTGGCGAGCCGATGGGCGCGTGCCCAGCACGCTGCACGTCTGAGTGCTCGGGTTTAGCAGCAGCATAGCTCATAGTATATAGTAGTTATTATGTAGTATAGAAAATCATACTCATAATATGTTACATCTACTATCTAACAGGTAGTATATGATATCAGAATGCATAATATGCAATATCTACTATCGAGCAGATAGTATATGACATCAGCATACATCAAGACGAAGGTTTAAGCTTCGGAGTTGCTGGGGTGGATACGTGTTGCAAATCTGCAAGAGCCAAAGTCTCGAGCTGCTCTTAAATCAGTAGTAGCATAGCTCATAGTATATAGTATTTGCTATATAGTATGTAAAACCATATTCACAGTATGCAATATTCAGTATCTTAGGCTGTCAGTGGTGTTTAAATCGCTGGCTGGTAAGACAAACCTTTGCATCCTTCTCGGCTACTTTAGACTGCAGAGCTGTTGATTCTCTCATATGGGGGTTTCCGAAAACAGGGGACCCTAATATAGTACCCTAAATAGTAGGATCCATATAATAAGGACCCCAAAATAAGGTACCCCTAATTTATTCTAACCAGACCCCAAAGCAAACCTGATCAAGAGCAGAGCAGTACAAACCCTGGTAAGGATGTGGTGTTTAGGGTTGTTCAACCAAAGCCTCGACCCTACTGTCTGGTTCTTAGTATGGAATGGGGGAATGGGTACGGGGACTATAATTGGGGATTATACAGGGGCTACTATATCCATTCCCCCATTCCCACTAAGCACCTCCCAACACAGCTGCCACCACCAAGAAGAAGACAACGAACGGCAACACGAAGTCGTTCACGTCCCAGAGTTAGACTATGTTAGACTCGCCCAACACACCTGCATAATGACATCTATATAGTCCCTATATTCCTATGACCCTAAACCTCAACGCCTGGACCTCTGTGCGACTTTACTGCTTCTACGGAGCTTTGCTTCGCCAACCTAGCACACGTTTCCGATGACACAGCGATCAACGTTTGTTGGTCGTTCATGACATGCACAAAGGCTGCAGTCGTGTCCAGGCAAAGCACTGGATTGGCGTAGTCCCGATCGGCGATTACTGCCAGCAAGGGATGTCGAAGCGTGTTGTCTTCGCATGCCGTGAGAGAAGCAAGGGCAGGAAGAGCAGCAGCTGTGTGCAGACCGTGTAATGTTCCGTGACTCTGTGCGCGCTGAGCAGGATTGCTACCCGTACTCATGGTGGCGACTGGAGGTGTGACTGTGTGACCTGTTGCGCAAACTGGGCTAGGAGCGGATTTACGCAAGGACGACATGTCCGTAGATCGCCCGACATGCACAGCCTTTACTGCCAGTCTCTGCCGGAATGGGCTGGTGGCCAGCTCGCCTTCATGGGCGCCATACCGTGGCAGTGCCCCCTCAGGTTTGTTGACATGGGCAGAGCATGTCGGGTGTTCCAGTTGCTGGGATGTCACAAGTCTTTTGGCAGGGTTTTCAGCAAGACTGAATTGATCTCCACACAAGCAATAGCTCATTCTGAGTGAGTCTCTGGCGTCTTGGTCTTCACAGGGCACTTCAGTCTATCATCATCAAGTGGCAGTAACCCGTCGCTGAATGTGGCAGCTGTGGATGCAGGTACACCGAATACCCTTCTCTATATGGCGGACCGTGTAATGTAAATCGAGGCCTCGGCATTTGTGGCAAACTTGAAGCCCATTTTTGCATGCCTTTCCTGCTATCCTCAAGCACCGTGGAACACTGGTTGGGCATGAGCATGTAAGTCGGAGGCAATCTAGACTGCTTGCAGTGTCACTGGGACCACGCAAACACTGATCATCAAGTTGCCAGAGTTAGATCTCAACTCGTTTTCAACTCTGGCTTGGCAGATGCGTCCGTAAAACCTACGGATGCGACAATTTTCCTCTATGCCCACCGGGACAGCGAGAATTTCAGGCAGGATACTCGTCTTCCGTCTCAGCCACATAGTCTTTGATCTCAAATATCCGGCGCCAGAACCTCGCTGAGTTTGGGACTGGATAAGATGATGATGATGATGATGATGATCATGGGGGTAAGGATGATGATGACGTTGCTGATGAAGACTAAACTAAGATGATGATCTTGAGGATGTTGACGATGAAGATGACGAATAGAAATACAGAAATAAACATCAGGGTTGTCATGATGGTTTCCATCTGACTGTGAATGTCACATGTTATGCTTTTAGTTTGGCATGAGGAGCTTTACAATGCTAGAAATGTTGACTTCGTGTAAGCTTGGGCTGAGAGACAAGCAGCTATCTCCCGCCTGCTTGCAATCAGGGGTACCAGACCAGACTGGAGGAAAGCACAGAGAGCGGGAGTTGCCAGGTGGTGTGTAACTTTTGCTGTGGTTGTGAGATGGGGCACCAGCTCTATCGTACCTGCGAACGGGCGGGGAACAGTCCCGCACAGAAGAGCCCGTCCCGTCAAAATGGAGGACCAGGTTGCGCTGATGCGGCTAGGGGACCTGCCCCCAGCTTTCACCCCTAGCAAAGCAAAACAAATCAAAGAGAGAGAGGGGTGTTTCCTTGTTGCTGTCAAGTCCTGCACTGGCGAATTGGAGCTGGCTTACAGTCAGTGGGCTTAGCTTTGTTCGCGGGATTCCGGTGTTGTGCAGTGATGGGCTGCGGCTGCGGGAAGGGCAGTCCGACCACCAAGACACGATGGTTTCATGACTTTGAGAAAGAGCTGCCATCCCTCGAAGGCAAGGTCATGTGTATCACAGGCTGCACGACTGGAACGGGATTCGTTGCGGCAAGGGCCGCTGCCAAAAAAGGCGCCCACGTGGTCATGCTGAACCGTGAGAGCGAACGCGCGAAGGCGGCGGAGGCATCTCTCTTGGAAGTCACCTCAAGCAGCAACGTGACCTCGGTGGCCTGTGATCTTCAAAGCTTCGACAGTGTTAGAGATGCAGCTACAAAGCTCAAGTTGATGTTTGAAGAGAAGGGCATCGATATTCTTTGCAACAATGCAGGTGTCATGGCACTGGCCGACGAGGCCACCAAGGATGGCTATGACGTGCAGATGCAGACCAACCACCTGTCGCACTTTTTGCTGACGAAAGAGCTCTATCCACTTCTTGAGAAGGCAGCGGAGCAGCGCGGAGATGCTCGGATCGTGAACCACTCCTCAGGCGCTCGGAAGTTTCCGAGTACACCGCTGGATGCCAAATACCTGGGCAAGAACGGGGGCAACTTGGGCGGCAACGGTAACTCGGTGTTTTTCGGCGGGGGCCGCTTTCAGAGGTATCATCAAAGCAAGCTGGCGAATGCAGTTTTCACCCTGGCCTTGGATGAGAGGCTCCGGGCCAAGAACTCCAGGGTGAAGGCACTTTGTGCGGCCCCCGGAGTGGCTCGTACAAACCTCGTGGCTACGGCCACGGCGGACGGGTTCCAGGAAGATACCTTCATGATGCGCTTCGCGCAATCCGGAGAAGATGGAACCATGCCCCTTCTCAAGTGCTGTGTTGAAGAAGGAATCCAATCTGGCGAGTTCTACGAGCCAGACGGTTGGGTAGCCATCAGAGGCAAGCCGAAGAAGATCAAGATGGAGCCCGTCTGCATGAACCCGGAATCCAGAAAGATTCTTTGGGAAGAAAGCGAGAAGGCTTGTGGCCCCTTCAACATCAAGTGACACTTTTACGCCAAGCAAGTGTGCTTGAGGGTTAGATTCGGTTAGCTTAGGACTGATGTTTTTTTGCGATTCCTCCTGAAGGAAGCGAGCTCGCACATCCTGCTCAGATCCCGTGTAAGTTTGCTTTCACGGCTCTGCAGAGTTTACAGCGTTCCCTGCGCTGCCACGGCAAAGCCTGGTGCGGGTGGTGGGGTTTGCTTCTGCCAGTAGCTGTGCTGTAGATATGCTTTCGCAGTATCCGTTGCGCCGCAGTTGACCGTCACAGAACACGCTAACAAAGCGAAGTCCCAGTGGTTGTCCTCCTCGAATGGCTAATGTAGGCCCTAAAGCCTAAAGCCCCGAACTCCAGACTCTAAGGCTTTAGGTCCTGAATCCTGTAACCCTCCCCTAACCCTACCCTGGACCCTACCATTGCCCTGCCCTACCCTACCCTAAACTGGCAATGAAAGTTTCACAGCCACAGCAAAAGAGGAATCGAGCTTTTACTGGAATGATGCCAGCCCAACAGGGAGGAGTCTGCCTCTTTGAATCTTTAATAGGGTTTAGGGTATCGCGAGTATGTTCCGACTCAGAGTAAGTGAGGGCGGCACCTCCGTGCCGCATGCAACTGCAAAGATGTCTTGTGATGAGTCTTGTGCGCTGTGGGCTTTGCCTTGACAGCTGGTATGGTCAGGGGTCCTGTAAAAAGAGCAGAAGCAGAAGTGCTTGAACTTCGATCTACAAGCAGAGGGGAGTTGGAAGAAATAGATTACTTATACTATTTTGGGGCTTCCTAATTATCAGTGTAGTATTAATGTACCCCAAAATCCTATTCTACTTATTAAGTGAGTTCGAAGCTCCGAGCACTCCTGGAGCTTAAGCCAGAGGCCCGCTCTGGAAGCAGCCTCCTCGTGGAGGCTCTCCGGGGTTCAACTTCGGGTAGAAGACCGGTCCTTGAAGTTTGAGACGTGCTTCAGGTGCACCTGGGTTCCTTCATGTCGTGTCTTTGGAGGTGTCTCATCTGATCAGAGAGGTACTGCTGCGACCCTGGGCAGTCGAAGCAGGGCCCATTCAGCTTCAGGCGGGCCCACGGTTCTGAGAGCCGTCCGTCAGATTTCCAGTTGCCTGTTGCGAGGTGCGATATGTGCCATGTGAGCACCCGGACTGCTGGTGATCTTCATGCACACGAGGCTCCCGTGTCTTTTCCCAGCAGGACCAAACTCTACCCTGAACTTTCCGAAACCTCAACCCTCAACCCTCAACCCGCAAGCCTAAACCAAGGACCCAGAAAACATGAACTGCAAGGTGGTAAAAGGTGTTCAACAATAACAAGAACCCTAAAGAACCCCAAAGAACCCTAAAGAACCCTAAAGAACCCCAAAAGAACCTCCCCAAAAAACTCTAAAATCGCAGAATCCACCGCTCTGCACGCCGGGTGAGGCCGGCAAGATCCACAAGAAGCGCGCCCACCTGGAGCGTCTCTGGGAGGTGTGAGGATCCCCAAAGTAGTTCTACAGTCCTAAATAATTACCTGTACTATTTCAGGGGTTCCTCATATTTATAAGGGTTCTGAAAAGATTACACGACTATAAGGGAGATTCCGAACATTAGCGATACCTTGTTGCGGTCCTTACAATAAGGATCATACTATGAGGATCCCCGAATAGTGCTTCTAGAACAGCTACGATAGTACGATGATAGTACGATGGCAATAGTGTGGTGCCACAACATACTTTAATACATTATAATACCACAGTACTCGTAGTACTATTAAGGTCCCGGTCTCAGAAGGGCCGCTTCTGCCAGGCGGCGCTGAAAGACGCGGTGGACCGGTCCATTTTGCAGGCGTGGGCACAGGGGCTCTACCTTCAACCCAGAGACTCCAACATCCCTTAATTAACCTTAAATTATAGTAGGATCCCTAATATGATTTAGGGAATATTCCTTGATTAAGGGATATTGGAGTCTCTAAGAAGCGCGCTTCTTAGAGACTCCAATATCGCGGAGTCCAGGCGCTGGACACTTGTGCACGACCGGTGACCCCACAAAGAACTGGTAGGATTGAGCCAGGCGAGGCCCATGTGATCAGTTGCGAGGAGGAGCCATCACACAGCCAAGGTCACCTGCAACTTGCATCTGCTGCGATCTACGCCCGACGCAAAGGAAGAGGCTCGACAATGGCAGCAGCTTGCACGGGCGTGGCTGTGTGGACGTGTGGACCTGCACCCTGCAGAAGGCAGCGACAGGCCTCCATCCAGCGCTGGAGAGGCTATCTTGGGAGTTGGGAACATGTCGCAGGACATGCTGATGAAGATGTTCCACGTAGCAAAGCTCTTGCTGGAGTTGCTTTGCCGTTCACAAGGAAGGTCCAGTATGTGGAACTGTCCTGTCGTTTGGTGCTCCTAGTTTCCTGGAAAAACCGGCTTGACCGCTTCAGGTGCGACTGCTGCTGCCCTCCTTTGACTGCATTGGCAATGCTCCTGCCAAAAAGTCCGACGGAAGGGACGTGCGATGCTTGGGACCGCTAGAGGGCCCAACAGAAGCACTGGCATGTCCAAAATGTCCGACGGAGGAAATCACTAGGGTTCGCCAAGTGGTATGTGTTTTTGTGGACCTTCTTGTCCGAGAAGCCTCCTAAAAGACTTGCGGCGCCGTAGACTTCATGAACAGCGAGGACTTGCATAGCTCCTTGTGATTCGCAATTTTGGCCCAACGAGCTTAGAGATAGTATCCAGCCTCTGCACACTGAACAAAGCACGGTAGCTAAGTCCTTCGACTTACGCTGCATGTTCGTCCTATGGGACCGTCTACGTAGCCCCAAGTCTCGCCACACTCCTTCAATCGCGCTGACTCGCGAGCTGCTGGGCAGCCCCCTGGCTGGGCCTCATGGACCGTCGGGGCTTGCAACCACGGGCTTTCATGGTTTCTGATGAAGCGGATGGGCGAAAGTTTGAGAGTCCTGTGTAGGGCCCCAGTTCTCCTGACTCGGCCTGTTTCCGCATCCTCGACGCTCTCTGATATTCTCAGCTGCTCTGTGCTGAGATGATATTGTAGCAAGACTATACTGGTACTACAATGTGTTAATACGACATCACTACGGTACGGTTGATGATATAAATCCTGCATTACCCAAAATAAGGAATAGACCATAATTCCCATAGTTTAGGATCCTTAAGGTATTGCAGGATTTACATCATAACAACCGTATTTTTCGAAGTTGCAGGAGGATGGGCGGACGGCACTCCTGCAGCCGAGCGGCTTTGGCGGTGTGATGGAAGAGAGCCTCGGCTGGGCACTTCGAGGTCAGCCATGTTAGGGTTTAGGGGTTCAGGGGTTTAGGGTTTAGGGTTCAGGGGTTTAGGGTTCAGAGTTTAGGGTTTAGGGTTTAGGGTGCAATGCTGTTGAAAATGTTGATGGGAGTTTCCGAAAATGGGGGTACCTGATTTTGGGGTCCTTATCATAAGGATCCTACCATTTAGGGTACTATATTACGGTCCCCTATTTTCGGAAACCCTTTATAGGTCATACTGTAGTATGGTGATGAATACAATGTTTCTATAGTAATATCACAGGCAATGCTGTAGTAACCCTTAAACCCCCGAACCCCTGAACCCCTGAACCTCTAAACCCCTAAACCCCTACACCCTAAACCCTAAACCCTAGACCCTAAACCCTAAACCCCTGAACCCCTAAACCCTAAACCCTTTAAGGCCCTTAAGGATCCAGCTAAGGTACTATACTTCCTTAAGATTGACCTTACTAAGCCCTTCTTATAGGTCTTAAGGCCCTAAACCCTAAACCCCGGCGGACACCAAAAAGGAGCTTTAAAAAAACACCCGGAGAATCCGAGGTATGCCTCTGAGTTCATGCGCCTGCGCGGGGATGCCATGGCCCGGCTCCAGTCTCTGAAGGCTTGGCAGCGGCTTGGGTGTCACCTCAAACTAGGGCTCCTCAAAGGGCTCCTTCAAGGGATCATGGGACTTTGTAAGTAGGGTTGATTAAAGGGATCTATAATAGGGTTTAGGGATTTAGGATTTGGGATTTAGGGGTTTAGGGGTCAAGGGTTTAGGGGTTCAGGGGTTTAGGATTTAGGGGTTTAGGGTACAATCTTACTAGACTATTGCTACAATCATGCTGTAGTTGTATTTTAGTACTGCTATACTTTTGCCATAATAATACTATAGTACTAGTACTATAGTAATAACCTGCCTGTGATATCGCGATAGTACTAGTATGTGCTTATAAAGTTCATTGTCGCGCTTTCATGTTCACCGGGGCCCGGCTTCAGGGCCCCAAAACCCTATAGATCCCTTAAGCCCCCGTATAAATCCCTTTAAAGGAACCTACTTGGCATCCCTTGTCAAGAGGAGTCACCGAGCCCGGGCAAGACGAAGTCCGTGGAAAAGGCCATCGAGACTTGCCCGAATTGGGTTTAGGGTACAGGGTTCAGGGGTTAGGGTTTTATGGGGTTCAGGGGTTCGGTTTTATGGGGTTTAGGGGTTCGGGTTTTATGGGGTTTAGGGGTTAGGATTTATGGGGTTTAGGGGTTAGGGTTGAGGGGTTCAGGGGTTGGAGTTTGGGGGCCTTAATAAGGTCTATTTAAGGAAGTATAGTACCTTCGGGGTAGGGGGAGGCGGGTAGGGGCCCTTCATACCCGTAAGAAGGGCTTGATAAGGTTTATTTAAGAAAGTATAGTACCTTAGCTGGATCCTTAAGGGCCTTAAAGGGTTTAGGGTTTAGGGTTAAGGGGTTGGGGTTTTATGAGGTTTATGGGGATAAGGGGTTGGGGTTTATGGGGTTTAGGGTTGAAGGTTTATGGGGTTCAGGGGCGGGTATGGGTTTACGGGATTTAGGGTGTAGGGCTTAGGGGTTTGGGATCAGAGGCCCGTCATCCATTGCGTGAGGAGCTGACCAGTGACTGTCTTTGGCGGATCTGAGGATGACATGGAATCCAACTGGCGGCAGATCCAGGTGGAGCATTTCGCTTTCGGCACCGTTTCACAGCTCTTGTTTGTTTAAGGATCCCACCCAGCAAAGATCTAAACACGAGCCTTTCTCAGAGTTCAAGTCGAGCGTTTCCTCAAAATCCGAGCAGTTACATGCACTGAGGGGTCATCTCTGCACTGCAGAACCGACAGAAATGGTCAGGTACAGCTCCGACTTGGCCTCTCGGGCGCGGGCTCCTCGCGAGAATGGGAGCCTCGAGCCACGGGCCTGCAGCGGAATCGTAGAAGGTTTGGATTCTTCTGCTGGGGGTGTAACACTGTGATTCTGCGATGCTAGGGCTAAATTTCGAGGGCGACTTTGGAGCTTTGGCTGAGCTGCGACGTCTGCTGGCGGAGAACCCACCTGCACAGAGCCCACGGGGCGCTGCTCTGCTTTCCACCTGTCAGAGCAGCAGTATATAGCGAAGACAGTAGATAACAGTAGCACCAGTTGAGCTTGAGCGACCCAGGTAAAGGAATGGGGCAACGAGGCGCCTTGGTAAAGATTGGGGGAGCGAGTGGAAGCAAGAGCACGGACTAATGGACTGACACTTTGGAGGCATGAGGTCCGAGAGAGCAAAGCTAGCTCTACTCCAAGAGCACGGACTAATGGACTGCTAGGCTGTGGGCCCGAACCTTCAGGTGAAAGCGATGCGGAAGGAGTTGGATTCCGTCCAAGAGGAGTTCAACAGGAGGTGCTGCATCAGCCTATGAGATGTGGCAGTTTCTGTGAAAACCCACTGCGGAAAAACTCCCCGGAGTCTTCGGCTCACGAGCAGAGACATCTCGCGCGCGCGCGCGTTTCTCGCAGTTTTCTCGCATCGCCATGCTGAGCTCCAAGCTTCTCGCTGGTCCGACCGCCGGCTCGCCGGTGGCTCCGGGCGACAGCGTGCGCTGGGTCCTCGCGAACGACGGCACCGTGCCTTGGCCTCTGGGCAGCACTTTGCGTCTGGTGGGCGGCCCGGTGCTGGCGAGCCCGATCCTGGAGGTTCCCTCGGCTGCTCCCGGCCAGACGCTGGAGTTGGATCTGGAGGTGAAGAACGAGTCGGAGCAGGTCATGGAGGCAAACTACTGTCTGGTTACGCCTTGCGGCCAGCCCTTCGGAGAGCTCATGTCCTTCAGCGTGGGCAAGAAGGAGACTCCTCCACCGCTTTGCGGCATCGTGGCGGCTCCAAACGGAAGCATGGAGGCACTTCAGGGCGAGGTGAAGACCTTGACCTGGACTCTGGCCAACATCGGGACGACCAACTGGCCTGAGGACGCCTGCTGCCGCCTCTTCTACAACACGCCCGGATTCGACTTCCTTCCAGCTGACATCCCGATTCCGCAAGGAGTCACTCCAAACTTGACCATCGACGTTGAGATCCAGGCGTTGATGCCCGAGAAGGAGGGCTGCTTCCGCGCGATGTGGGCCGTCACCAGCCCCTCGCACCCGGACTTCGGGGAGGTGCTCATGGCCGAGTTCCACGTGAGCGACTTCCCCTTCATGGACTGGATGGTGGAGGAGGCGGAGAGCTTCACCCTGGTCTCGGAGCCCGAGCAGGAGGCCCACCAGGAGGCTGCTTCCTCGTCGTCTCCAACTCTTCCTCCAAACATGTCCGCGGCCCACCTCATGCACGAGCACCTCGTGGGAGACGCAGAGGTGACCTACCCGAAGCACTTGGAGGACCTGTGCTCTCATTCTGAGGGCTCCCCTGGCTTTGTCTCCTTGGGCCACGTGTCCCTAAAGACGGCCCCTTGGGTGGTGCAGCTCCTGGTCCAGAACGAGGGCACTGTGGCTTGGCCCGAGGACTGCTGCCTCAAGTGCTGCCTGGGCTCCGGCTTCGGCTGTGCCTCCTTGCCGCTGGGACGCGTCGATGCTGGCGAGGTGATCCAGATCAGCATGGAGCTGGAGGGTGCCACAGGCCGCTCTGCTTGGGTTCTTGGCAGTGGCGATGAATGCTTCGGCCCAGTTTTCGTGGTCGAAGCAACAGAAGACTGACATGCTTGCGACAAGTGTCGCTCGTGTGATGGCTGGGAATCAACTTCCTTCTGCTGTTGCCAACAACACTGACAGTGCAGCAGAGTGTAGAGTTGTCCCACGATTGTACCCGTTCACCGCCTGCCCGCTGTGCCGTGGCGTTGCTGTGCTAAGGGATATATAGAGCTATCTATCTATATATATATATATATATATATATATATATATATATTTTGTTTTTATATTAGAGGTGGAATGCACAGTTGATGTGGCCAGCGGAGCAGGTGCGAATGACAGGCTTCGCGTGCCGTGTGATGTTTGTATGTGGTATCCTAGATGATAACAGGGAAGAACGATGGCGCCGAAGCCCTAGTCACCCGGACTCTGCTAGACGTTCAGGCAGAATGAAAATGGCCGATATTGCATGCAATAAGCATGAAGCAGCAGCCAGCCCTTGCAGTAAGAGCACCCTGAACCCCTAAACCCTAAACCCTAGAAGCCCGAGCCAGGTCCCTGAATCTCGGCTCCACTGCGGGTGGCTTCGAGCGTGCTGGGGCTCTGCAGGCCACGGAGCTCATGGACAGGCGCGGAAAAGGATGGCGCGAGTTCTTTGCAGAGGTGTCGAAACGATGACCTGACGCAAACTATAGCTTCAAAGAGCGGGTTCTTTGACTTCGGGCCTCAGGCCATCTTCGGCTTCTTAAAAGCATGGCAGATGTGCCTGTTAATGGCCCAAGCGTGTTGAACTATTGATTCTGGATGCTGGTAAAGCGTCAAAAGACCAGGAAGCATCCAGGGTCTTTGAGAAACAATGAGGTCTGTGGACATTTGCGGGATCATTCGCCCATGTGCAAACACCACGTGTAGTAGCCTGGAGCGATTGCGGTAGTAGCCGATTCTGATCCATTGTGCAGACGAGGCCTTGAGATCCAAACGCCGATACCTAGTACTATGATATGTAATAGTATTATATGACCACACTACATACTTTTGTAGTGGTATTATAGTATTATGATACAAGTATTGAAGTACTTTACCGGGTGCCACTCGCAGCCCCTCCTCGCTCTAGCAGCCGGCCTTGCAAAAGGAGCTCCGCGAAACTGGCTGATGCCAAACGCGTGGCCTTGGAAACCGAGGAGGCCGCTGAGTAGTTCAGGGGTTTAGGCAGGTTCCTGTGTTGTTGGTGTTGGAGGGATTGAAAGGTTCTGGATGTACGATTCAGAGGGCAGGGGAAGTGCATGTTGTCACGGCGAGAGAACGGGAGCCATAACACTACTTGTATCGGATGCTCACAGCCTTTGCATGTGTTTGTGTGTTTATTTTGAGGGACTCATTAACGTGTTCTGGGACGACGGCTGCTGCCAGGATATTGTTGCTGCTTCATAATGGGCTGATCTGGGGGAGACACTGCTTTAGTCTGACACTGATGGGCGTTGTGGCAAAGGGTTCACTGCCTCTGACTCCCTGAGGTCAGCCAGGGTGTTCTGAATGACCTCGCCGCCCAACGTGAGACCATCATGAGTGTACGTACCTTGGCCAGACGCGGGAGAGTTGGTCTCTTCGCTCTACAGGCCACTGCAAGCCGTTTCCGAATCGTTTGAGGTCCAGGGAACAGGGAGTAAGTAGACATTCAGATCAATTAGCCTTCGCAGTGTGGAAGGATGGGGGGTCGCGACCGTCGGATGGCACAGACCGAACCTCCTTGCTCCAAGCCGAGAAGCCCACAGCCCAATACCCTAAACCCCTAAACCCCAAACTCAAAACCCTAAACCCTTAAACCCAAAACCCAAAACCCTAAACCCCTAAACCCGCGACCGTAAACCCCAAACCCCTAAACCGCTAGACTCCTAAACCCCTAAACCCATCAACCCCTCAACCCATTAAGGGAGCCCTTGAGGCGGCAATGTCCGGACTATCGACACAGAGTTGACCTCAGCCAGGCGCTCATTGGACCGGTGCCTGGGCTAGCAGTGGTGAGATGCGTTATAATATAATGTTTTTTAAAACCCTATTCTAATGATTAAGGCCCCTATGCTATAGTACTCCTATAGATCCCTTGGTTAGATTAGCGGTTAGATGCACGATCCGTGGCGCATGGAGTGATCTGGCATCCTATAGACCGACCAGGCATTCTAATCAAGCAGGGACTCTGATCTTGTGAAATTATCTATCATGTTCGATCGTTTTTGGCATACTTCGTTTTTTGAATGTGGCTCGGAGCCCTTTTCAACTTTTCAACATTACAACTCCAGCCTTTTCCCGCCCGCAGCTCCAGGATATACAAGGGAGCTTTGAGAAAATGTGCAGAGGGTTGGACGAGGCATTCTACTGGGTTTGCGAGCAAAAATGGAGAGGATGTCAGGCAAACATGCAAGGCGACGAGCAGCGAGATAGTAAGTTTTGTATGTGAAAAAGTCTTGTATGCCTGACTAATAAGTTTTGGGGTTTAGGGTTTAGGGAACCAAAGAGACGAAAAGGGGTGTTGGAGGAAACACGGAGTGGAGAAGTGGCCACCAGGCCGAAGAGGTAAAAGAAGATGTGTCAATATGCAGATGCGGCATGAGTACATAGTGCATACGATGATGGAAGAGTCTAAGAGCACAAGGTGGAAAGGTTGATTTGGGCGATTGGAGCGAAAGCGACAGGTTTCTGAAAGACTTGGATCCTTAATCTTGGCATCTGTCTGTGCCATGCATCCTCAGACGAAGCTCAGACCGGACCCAGGATGATCTCCGTGGCGCAGAGGAACAAGATGGCGACGCCGCCTGGCACAGCTTTCCTGGGCTTTGCTTCAGCTGCCTGAGCATGACCAAAGGTTGCACGACATCGAACACTTGACCTACGAATCTGCATTGACCCCTACCTGTGATTCTAAACCCTCGCGAACGAACACAGGCTCAGGGCGTCCGGTTTCTTGACGAGGCTCAACTCCGAAGGATCCCCAGGATCCCCAACCACCAAGGCTGGACACACTGGGGAAACACACGATCCCTCTCGATCCTAAGCTTCTCCGAAGGTCTGAGCATGAAGCTTGTGTAAGTGTCCATGAACCCACAAGAAGCCCTGTAACGAAGACATTGTACTATTGCTACTATGACTATTGCTATTGCTATTGCTATTGCTATTGCTATTGCTATTGCTATTGCTATTGCTATTGCTATTGCTATTACTACTACACTACGACGACTACTACGACTGTTATTATTATTATTACTACTACTGCTGCTGCTGCTACTACTACTGCTGCTGCTGCTACTACTACTACTACTACTACTACTACTACTACTACTACAATGCCTTTCAGTCTGCCGCACCGTTCGGGCCTCGCGGGTTCCTCTCGTTTTCGGGCCTGGCTCGGAGGATTCCAGAAACAGAGGCGCTTATGCTCGCAGAGCCCTGCAACGTAGGACGGACTATGTATAGACTATCGCACCATGATTTCTTTTTAGGAGCGGTCGTAGATTGCTATTGCTATGTGCTGCCACTGTCATTGCTGTTTTGTCTGTCATGGCTCTGAAAAGAGCGTGCAACAACTGCCTCAGGATTGTCATCGCCACGGTCTTTGCCCTGGGCCTCTCCTTTTGGGCACTCTGTGCTCTCGGCTTGCCGCGGAGCTGATGTGGGCTTCAGGTTGCAGGGAGTTGAGGGGCTTCATTGCAGTGAAACGTCATGTGACGGAAGAATATGTGTACCCATCACACAGAGCTTTAATCACAACCTCAGTGCACAAGGAACAGTAGCAGTAGCAGTCGCAGTAGGAGTGGGAGTGGGAGTAGGAGTAGGTAGGAGTCGCAGGAGGAGGAGGAGGAGTAGTAGTAGTAGTGGTAGAAGTGGTAGCAGCAGCGGAGACTTTCCACAAATAATCTCGCTCTTGAAATTTTGAGCTCTGCGGGACACATCACTCAGCAAGGTGCCCCAACTATCCACACTTCTTGGAGCCACATGAATCCTTACCTTCATGAAGCCCCATGTGCAAGGCGGTTTATTGCAACACGAGCGGGCTGAACATCGACAACATCCATCATCGTATACAAGTTCTGTCCAGCCACTAGCACCCGTCATAATGGCCTTTACGTTTGACGGGTGGTATCGAAGTATACAATGTATATCTGCGGCGAGCGCATCAAACTCCAATTACGGGAGCTTACAAACATTCCTGAGGAGTAGTGTAAGACAGGATGCCGCATATCTGTTGCCCGTAATGTCTTGCTTTGTATAGAATGCGACAATTAACCAAAACCAACGAAGCAGAACCACTGGTACCAATCAAAAGATAACAATATAAGGATGAAGTACTAGTAGAAATATCATCACCCTAAACCCTAAACCCCAAAACCATGTCCTCATACCACCTGAGGCCTCTGAAGCAGACTCTGCTTTTGGCCTCGCTGGTGGTGCTTTGCCTGGGTGCTGGGCTGACCCTGAGGCGGCGGATGCGATCCGGCCGCTGGGAGCTGCCGCTCTACCACTCCTAGCCTACTTCAAGGATCATGGGACTTAGAAACTAGGGTTATAATTCAGGTAACTATACTTATACTTGCTTATAACCCCTCTTAAGGTACTTATAACCATACTTACTAAGTCCCATGATCCTCCAAGTAGGGAGTTAGGTGCATCCGCGGTTCAGGCTCTATAGGGTTTCAGAGTTCGGGGAGTTTATGGTTTAGAGTTTTACGGTTTAGGGTTTTGGGGGTATATTATACTATAGTTATGATAAGGAAGCCCAGCCCCCAAAACCCTCTTCTAACCAGTGTGTTTAGGGTTTAGAGTTTGGGAGGTTTAGGGTTTAGTCCGACTTGTTGCACCAGCGCGCCCTTCAGGGTGCGGGAAGCCTGTACAGCTCGCGAGCGGTCTGCTGCGGACCTGGATGGGGTTTTAAGCTCCTGGGTCTGGGATGGAATACATATCATATTATGATGTCACTGTTGTCGATGGTAGTTATGAAGATCTGCCAAGAGCATGCATAGCCATTCGTCTTATCATTCTTCTCATGGCAATTCACCACATCTTCTTCTTCTTCTTCGTTTTCTGACCGTTGTGATTACTACAAGTGTTGCTGCCCACATTGTTATTCGTATTCTATCCAGATGTTCAGAGATTCTGCCCTCTGTGGGCCCCCAGAGCAGTGCGAAGGGAGCCGCGGCTGATGAGCAGTTGCGAAGATCCGATGACGGCCAGCACGCGAACCTCATTGAAGTTCTATGGGTAGTCATGCTATGGGTAGTCATGAAAAGGCACTTAACATCAACTGGGGTAGTTTGGAGCTACCCATCAACCTTCAACGAAGGCTCCGCATGTTCATATCTCGGTCTCACACTCGACTGACTAGTTGTGTTCAGCGGCAGAACGAGCCATTTTCGACCTGGCATGCAGCACAGGTGCCACGCTGAATGCAAGCCAGTCAAAGAGCGACTCTTGCTCAGAGCACGAGCATCCCAGGCAGCAAGCGAATGCAAAGCGGCAATGCGCGCCCTTTCCGTCCCGTGCATACTCAAGCAATCGATGCATGGACAAAGGCTTTCCTGTGCTGCTTCTATGCTCAGGCTACCATCCCAGACCTGAAACTCGCGAAGCCCCCCCCACTCCCGCCATGGCCGTCCATCCCGGACATGTTGCAGAGTCAGCCGTGGCCAGTCCAAGGTTTAGTCTTTCCGCTTGTAGCACTGAGTTGGTGTCGACTCTGTCTCATGCCATCTTCAGTCAACGGACACCTCCGAACCTTTCTTTTTGGATGCGCCCAGGTGGTGCCTGGAGACCTTCACGTCGTCTCTTGACACATCTTGGAATCGGCCCGTGCTAGACAGTTGTAGGGTTAGTTGCCATTGTGGACCTCAATGCTTCAGGTGCCTTCCAGTACTTTCGGGGCCTTAATAACTCGAATAGGGTTTGGGGCCCATTATATTACAATTAGAATAAGGAACCCCCAAAACAGTATTGGTGATTGTTTAGGACCTTATATTGCTTGCGGCTCGCTGTGTTTTGAGATCAGGTCTGGGGCCTGATCAAGTCCATGCAGTTCAAGTTCTTCAAGCAGGTCGTGCAGGCCAAGTGTGAGGAAGGCAGCGGATGTTGAAGAGTTTTTGCTTTGCCGGGTTCGATCTGGTTTCTGGAGGTGCTGGGAGGCAGAGAATGGCTAGCTAGTGGTAGTGGTTATGCCGCAGCCATACACCGCAGAGTGTGAAGCATACAGCTACAAGTCGTGGCTTGCTTGAAGCGACTTCTGAAGGGACTTGTGCAGGGCTGTGCTTGTGCATCGCTAACATGGAAGTGCTGTAGACTCTGGAGTCTTTGCAGGGAGCGATGTGGGCGCCTTGGGTCAGCATACTATCGCGTACACGGACAACACGGTGCAGACACTGCGCATTACGGAGATCTCGGAACGGCTGCCGCTGAAGCGCAGCATTGGCATGGATCCCTGGAGGTGATTTCATGAAGTTGGGACTGTCAGACAGGTCACATTTGGGGTGGGCTTGCTCGAACTTAACCTAGAACTCTTGGCTTGTACCCGAGTTTTTGAGATCCGGAGAGCATGTAAGGAAATGGTGTCTTCGGATCCTCCGGTAGAATACTCTGCCCGCAACGACACGATCTCGCTCAGTGC